AAGCTGAGTAAAAAATAAGATGACGTTCGTGCAGATGTAGATATTCACAGTAGTTTCTATCGTGTAATGTGGTAGTAATTCTTCACCATGTTCTTACGGTTTCAGTTAGAAACTATCTTTGCACTCATCTTTCAGGTTCGTACCCACACAGTTTGCATTCGACATATTCATACGTATCACTTGGTGTGAGAGGATAAAAGACAAATAAGTCTTGTCAAAGAAAAAGCACCTTCTAAAATTAGTATACTTTACTATTTGCATAATGGTAGAAATGATAAGGAAACCTTTTATGCATTCTACAAAACGTTTCTCTATTTATTTAATCCTCTGTCTAGGAAAGAAATTTATATTACTCAACAGCAAACAATATCCTTTAATGCTAGCCCATCAAAGCTGGATTCAGCGAAAATTTATTTCTTTGTGAAAAACGTATTATTTTTAGTAACAAATGTTTGCAATAATGAAAACATGTATGATAATTTTCTAATGTTTTTCATTGTGAGTTAATAAACCTAAGCCTAAATTAACATTTTTCCTTGTACCAATCGTTCATATAACAAGTTTTAATGATGTGAATGATGCAGAATTTAAAACTTTATTCTAAACACAATATCAAAACTATTTCTCATAAACGTTTTGTTTCAAATATTTTGAATACTTAAATTATCATGCCAGTAGTATGAATATTTACTTTGCTCTTTTGTGGAAACACGATATATTTTTCACTGCACTTTGTTTTGTTTTTCTTGCATATATACGAGAAACAAAATTACAGCTGAAGTAAAGTTCGTACAATTCTCTAAGATTACGACCTGTATAAAACCGGAAAGAAGATATGAGAATTATGGTTGTCTTGTTGTACTGTGTTGTAAAAACAAAAACAAAGAAACAACAACAAACAATTATGATAGTAGAATGCAAGAAATAGCATCCAAAGGAGTAATTATTATTGACATATTTACAGTAATGATGGAGTTGACGAATAAAAAAAGGAGATAACTTAACTAAAGGTAAAAAAGCCAAAAATAAAGAAAATGTGAAGTAGTAAAGAAGCAGTTCATTACATACAAAGAAGATAAATACTAGAATTCAATATTTCAATGTAAAGAAGCAACAACAACATTTAATCGACTTCTATAAATGGAAGATAACAGAGTAAGCTATAACGGTGAAGCTGGCATGAGGAGGGTATCCAGGCCTTTTTCGCTAAAGTTGTTCTTTTAATATTCTAATAAATGGATTAATTTTGTACATTCTGAAGCCCATTTTGTGAGGCTTTTGATTATTAAGAGGTTGTTTGTCTAACATGCTAATGCTAATAGTTTTTACACTTTTTATTCTATTTAGGCTTTAATTAAAATCCACATTTTCTTAAAAGTATTATACACTAATCAGAAACGATTTTCATACTAAGTAGTTTCGAGCTATTAATTCCAATTAAATGTTACAAACCCGCTTTGAAGTTTGATGCTAAATGTCAGATAGACTTACATAATGAAATTATTGACCAGTAAACCACAAGTAAAATTTAGGATATGGTACACAGAGAAAGGAGGTTTTAGTTTCAGAAAAAAAACAACAAAAAATACACTTTATGTCATAGCAGCTAATTAGAAAATTTGCATTTTAGGCAGATTATAATTTTCATGCTTTTGCAGATTGCACTGACAAATTTACTGATATACTAAAATTTATGGTACATTCAGAGACAATAGTAACAGAAATTTTATAAATATGCTTCGTAAATCTTGGCTTATGTGTTAGCACAGTCTTTGAAATTTAAACAGATTAAAATTAACAGATACTTATTGAAGATTGTCTCAGTGAAAGATAAAAAGCAAAATTATTCACACAGAAAAGTTATTGTCTTATCTAAAAACTTCTCAAAAGCGAAAAAATATATACTATAGTATTTAAGATAATAAATATATAATCCTTGATTGTGATGAATAGGGGAATTTGACTGTCATTCTTATAGCGCACCCACTTTCCCAAAGTGTGATGGGCGTTTTTGTGACGGAAGTTCATACAAAAAATATTACTAAACATTAAACTCAGAGCTATATATTTTTGTAAGCCTTTTGAATTTCAGAAATAATGTTTCTCTTTTTTTGATTTACTGTTACTTACACATCTCTCTTTCACACACACATGTATATTCAATGCTATTTCATAACTTTAATACTTTAATTTATTTATTTCCATAATTATTAAGCTGTGTAGAACAAAACTTTCACAAGTTTCTTATGTATTTTTTATGCAAAAAATGAGTTTATATTTCTAGTTCCAACTTCACTTAGTTTGTTTTTAAAGTATGTATCGTTTCTATTTTTGAAAAATCACGAAAAAAATCTTATATAAAAAGCAAGTTTTTCTGAATAATTGGAAACTTTCAAGTCTACCAAAAATGGAAATGATTATCTACCGTATTCCGAAAAGAAAAGAAAGATCGTGATTCATTTCTTGCATGCCGAAAATTGGACAGAGCAACAAATGGCTGACTTCAGCCATTATTTTATTTTTTTGTGAAGGCTTGGCCCTTAAAGATTCAGAAATTTCAATTCACGATCAAAAGGTTCACATAATCTGAGTTAACAATGTAGCCATTCACGGAAATTTAATGGGTCTTAGCCGACAGCTTTAATATTTTTTTAAAAGAAAGTACGTATTTCTGTGATGATGACTTACATCTGCAATGTATTTTATGCATTTACGATACGCGTAATACTGGTTTTGTTCAAAGTATGTATGTGTGTTGTGTATATATATGCATGCATATATATATGCATACATAACTTACGTATGTTATTATGATAACATTTCAAATATTTTAATTTTCACTGAAAAAAAATGTGCCTGTGTACTAGGCATTTCTTACCTTGTTTTGTGTAGTTTTTAATATATAACCACCACCCTGAAGAATCAGCCCAGAATCAGATACGCAGACTTTAGTCCGCATAGCTTCTTAATTTTTCTGTCATCTAGAACAATAATAAAATATATGATTAGTCCATCATTTTAAAGAAATCCTATGTAAAATTAACTTGCTTTATGTCACATACGCGTAAGCCAGATCTTGCAACAGAAACAATTGTGCTAAGAATTAAATACTACAGCTGAAAATGTATGTGGTTTGGTAAAAGGTTCTAGGTTTGAAAGTACTCGGCTTATTTTACAAGTTTCTTCTTTCTCTTCGATAAAAAAAAGAACGTTCATTCGTTGTAAGTGTATTACACTTAAAATAATTATTTACATAAGATCACCCAAGATTTTAGTTAATATTTTGAATAAAAAAACTGCACACCTAGTTCGGCATATACTTTGTTAGCTTCACGGATATCGCCAGATATTGTTACAGTGCATATTAACATTTATTCAATGCAAAAAATTAACTATAGCTTCCATATCATGAAATGTAATAAATGGTTTTTAATTCGCATCAAGTATTTCATTCGCTAAGTATAGAATTATTTTATGTCGTATTACAGAGAAAAATCGTATTCAGTCGTTCCGGAATAATATTTTTGTTACCAAGGTATAACATGATATAGAATTTCTCATCATGACGTTAGAGGCGCTACAAGAACATTAAAACAATTTAAGTTTGTATTCGAAGTATGTTTGTCTTTTGCCCTTGGATAGTTGAATTGGGCAAAAAAGTTAGCAATGCAATCAATCCCCATCATTATAGCATAACGTTTTGGGACAACATGGGACCTATTGGTCCATCTCAGCTGTTCCATCCTTCAAACTAAACTAATACTATTAATAAATGAATTTAAAAAAATCTTAAGGTCAGCCCTTATCACTCATATACTTATCAAGCTTTCTTTTAAACACACTTAAATATATTGCCTCTACAACATCCGAAGGCAACCCATTCCAAAGGCCAACCATCCT